AATTAAAGGGGGTGTGGTAAAAGGGTTAAATAGGCTTAAATAGCACTGTTTCTGCTTCCGGTCTACTTTTTAACCTAGGCAATGACCCCCAATGCCTAGGCCTGCAGCCGCCTATGAGTGGCGGATCTGGGTGCAAGTTAATGGTAGGGCCAGGAAGTGGGTGTGTCCACTTTTCAACCAGTTATTTTATGGTTATGCATCTTTTGGCCATTTTTATGATGGGTTTCAACAATTTCCTCATCTATGCTGTGCTTATAATGCTCTTCAAGCGCTTGTAAGTACTCTGGTGTGGCTTGTGGTTTGCTTTATCAAAACTTGAGGCAGGGAATTGTTTACATTGCATCTAATGAATCTCATTACTGACTTCTGATGCCCCGGCCATGGCCCGTCTAGGCCCGGGCCCAGATCCGCCACTGGGTTTAGAGCCATGCTAGTGGTACCAATAGAGTCCTCTGGTCAAGATGAGGTCCTCTATAAAGTCTGGTAAGCATAGGAGCTCGTTTTTCCAGTATAGCAAAGCTACAAAAGTAGTGGCAGCCATTTTGTTTGGGGGGTGAATCATATATAGTAACGCTACCGCGTTACTAATGTATATTGCCATGTAAGTTTCTCTTGGCAAATACTGTGACCTTAAATAATAGATTGTAATTGCAAGATGTGTGTTGACATGTTACATATGGGCATTTATAAAGTACACATGTAAAGATGGCATTTTTGGACTGTAGACTGAGTTTACATTCTTTTTCTTTTTCAAAACCCTGCTGGTCTTATGTCACATCACTGATGTACCTCAAACTAAAAGCAATTGTATCAGCTAACAAGGATGTTAAGGATCATGATTTGTGGAATTTACTTTCGCTAAAAAAGGGAACTTGAAATTTATAGCCCTCAAAAAAGAGTGCCCTACGATAATGGCAAAACTAAAATCATAATTTGACTTGCTACAAAATTTACTACTTAGTGGAAATGATATACCGGTATTCAGCATCAATAAATACTATGAATATAGTACACATATAAGTAGTTACTCACTTAATAGTAAGGAAACATGAATTAGCTTTGAACCCTTAAGAGTTTCAAAATAAATGTCACAACTGTGTAATATTGAATCAGCAGCATATTCAAAGATGCTTTTTATTTTAGCAATAGTTGCTTCAAAATCATCACTATTATACAATAATAATAACTATTCATTGATTGATAAAACTTACTGTTCCACAAATTTTTGCAATTGTTCATTAACACTAACAACAGGTACTTCCAACAAACACTGTATAAATTCCATTGTTACAATATTGGCCTTATTGCTAAAATCAAATCCTGTTTCATTTCTGTAAATACAGAGTTCATAATAATTAAGACGTGCATGAAGACATAACACTATAATTTAGAAGTAAAAGGCATGCATGCTCTGAACTTACTTATAAATCATGTAAGCTAGACAGAAATAAAATATAAAATCTTGGGAAAAGTTTGACTTAAAGTGAAGAGAATTTTGAAAGAGACGAACAACCTCTACTGCATTAAAAGATGATGCTAACTCAATATATGCCTATAAAAAGAAAATAATAATATCAATTTTCTCTCCTACAGACTCTTTTTTAAAGGTTGATGTTTGCATAATCCAAGTATGGCATTAGTATGGCATGTACTTCTGGGCTGTCAGCTATAGCTGTTTAATAATTGAGGAAGGTTTGTACATGTACAATGTATAATGGTACAAAAGTAGTATATGTAAATGCTATTGATCATGAAGTTATCTCATGCATGAGAAGAGTAAAATTTCTAGATAAGAATATTATCAGTGACTACTACTACTATACTAAAATAATTACTATGGTTTATACTAAAATACAAATAGAGTCTCACAAGATGATCAACACATCTTTTTTTCTTCAAAACACTAATCATACATGCATGTACATGTATGTAATGTATAAAATCTCTATTATAAAATTTATTTTAAATTTGCTCCTTGTTTCATATGACTAAATAATTAAAACAAGACATACCTCCATATGCTGATGAAATATAGTATTTAAAAAGAATGAAAGCAGTCTTTCTCCTGGATTATTGGACTCAATGCTTTGTGAAGGCAAGTTCTTTGTACTTGATTTGTCCATAAGTTTACTGATGTCCAAGTATGGTGAGAAAGAGACAATGAGTTTATTCTCTATGACATACTGTGTTGCCCTAAATAACTGTTCATGACTTTCTGGAATTTTAGGAAATAAAGCTCGAGCAACTAAATAATTAAAATAGATAAAATTTCATGCACACAAATACATGTCACTATTACATAAGTCATAAGACACTTACATTCGTATCTTTTATTAAAGAATATTGTTACTGTAGCTTTATTGTCTCTTGCTTTATCAAAAAATTTTAAAATTTCTCTCTTATATTTGCTTGAAACAATAACAACAAGAAATGATGATAAATCCTCTTTTAAGTGACCAGCTGACAGAATTTTTTGACTGCTTTCAGACTCTCCAGAAATCACTAAAACAACTTGAAGATCAGCTTTTCCATTGTACTTGCTACATATTGCATCGATTCCTTCACCTCTAGATTCATGTATTTGCATGAAGGGGGTAGAATGTGGAGGAGGGTCACCTTCTGGCACAAGATGGCACCATGGAAACACAACTGCGGGTTGATCACATGGCCAGCAGTAATTGCTCTTTACTAGCAAAGCTTTCTGAAGAACTTGCGAGGAAATTTTCACTTCTATTATGAGGAAGTATATGAATCTAGTCACATTAGTACAATTGGTAATACCTATATCTCTTTCTTTTAACTCCATTCTCGACTTGGTAATACCTATATCTCTTTCTTTTAACTCCATCCTCGACTCTAGAGACTGAGTGAGAAAATTAAACAATTGCCTAAGTGGGTAAGTCAATTAGTCAACCGCCCACACACTATTTAGCTAGCTCTACCTACTATAGCCCTGACCATAGGCGGCTGCAGGCCCAGGCATGCCCTGGCTATGCCTGGGTAGCTTTCAATCAAAACCACACCCAAAAGGTGTGTTTTGTTATTATTAGGAGTGAGATTATCACTATAATTCATTTTTTATAACCACAACTGTTTATACACAGTATCAGTTCATCTTTACAGTTATTTTTGTGTGGTAACTGGCTTCAAGTGGCAAGTATTATTAATGTTCAGTTATTTAACTAATTGACCACACCCCCAATTGTTATGAATAATTAATGAGCCTGGGTAAATTCAAAATTCTGCAGCCGCCTATGGCCCTGACACATCTACCCTGGCACTTTCATTATAACAATTTTAGCTACTAGAAGTAATGTAGAACATTAAGGGGCGAGCCTAAGCTAGCAAAGCAATCATAGTACTGGATCTATCTATCTATCTATGATCTACTCCTGATCATAGGCGGCGGAAC